GTAGTGAGTCTGCGAAATGGCGCTGGTCTAAGTAATGATATGGAGAAATGATAAACAAAATTAACACGTTAAAAAAATAGTAACATGGTGGGTGAGGCCTCTTTACATCTGGTGTGTTTGTAACCAACTTTGGGGGGTGGGAGGGGGTTTGTAAAAAAAGGCAGTGGAGACTGAATGAGGCCTCAGGAGAAACGTAAAAATGGTAACCTTTTTACCTGATACCGTGAAACGGGATACTGGAATCACTTCCTGGAGTTTTTTCTTGAAGAAGAGTAGTAGAACCTAAAACATATTCATATTTAAGTACAAGGAATCGGGTATAAAGTTTTAATTTAGACAGAGATTTAAGAAATATGAGCTAATGAACAAACTAAGCGTGGAGCTGGATAAAATTAAGAGGCTTGTTGGTGGCTCAGCCTATTGATATCACAAGCCTATAGGGGCCAACTGTTTCTTTAAGAGAATACCCCTGGGACATTATCCATAATTAAATGTGAAAATGGGTGGTGAATAGTGCCACACAGATTTAAGGAAACCGTAGGGAGAACCGTGTACATAAATATTACAAAGAAATAATATTAAATATAAATGCTTAAAACCTCTTGCGTTCGGCTAACCGAACGTGCAAGAGGGATATAACAGGACCGTGTGTAATAGTTAGATTTAGGAGCAAACGAAAGATTGTATGAAAAAGCCGTTCGTACGTGTTGGGCTAAACAAACAAGGCGAACGTAGGTGAGTATAAGCGGTCGGTAAATTACTTAAAGAAAGCAAACAAAAGCGTGTGTATTCTGCGGTCGGCTGATAGTCGCATGAACGCAGAAGTACACGAACAGCGTAATTACACGAACGGGTAAGTAATATAGTGAGCCTTTTCCCCCCGTTTTTAGGCCCGAACGTGGGAAATAGTCCAACACTATTTCCCACGTTGATGCTTATGTGTGCGTGCCAGTCTCATGACCAGAAGCTAGATAGCCGGGAACAGGTAACGAATATGGCGAGGCAGCCGGTGGACGGGCCCGGAGGTCGGCGGTAGGAGCTGCTGAAGACAGACTGTTTGCTCGAGGTAGGACTGGCGGGAACAACGGACCGGAAGTGCAGGTTACTATGGAGACAGACAAAACAGCTTGAACGGCAAAGGTAAATAGGGGGGTAGGGTTTATATAGGGTCATAACTCCTCCCACAAATCCAGGCCAAATGGCCTTCCAACATATGTATATATATATATATATATATATATATATTTATTTTTTTCTATGTATGGTGGGGGGGCTGCGAAAAGGTTTTCTGTAATTATTTCCTGGTTGTCCAGTGGGCAGCTTTCCAGCGAGGTCAGCAACGCGTGCGGGGGCGGAGTTTGGATGCGGGAGATGGAGCTTCTGTTCAGGAGGTGGAGATTTGTGGGGGGCGGGGCATGAGGACGAAATTGATTTACACTGGACTCCAACTGACAGGTCTCCCTCCGGCCACTGGCAGACTAATTGCGGCCGCACTAGCCCTCAGCTCCTCCCTCCTATACTGTGCCAGCCTGTCAGTCCGAGGGGAAATATTTAAATGGCATCTGTGACAGATCCATCTGTCTAAGTACTATCTGCTGGTTCGTCTATTTTGTTATACTTTCGTGGAATTACCAGCCTATACGTCCCTGTTCGTTTATTTCAGTTATACTGAATAAAACTACCGAACGGACAGCCAACCCGAAAAGAAGTGTGCTGCTGGTTAACCTATTGGCCTTAATTCTAGGCTATCTGGGGGTACGTTATACGAATTAAATGCATTCGGTAGTTTTACAGTTATGTATTTTTATGTGTTTTTATTATACCATGTAAAATGGCGGTTTGCCTCTATCCCTGGAGATAATTGTATTTCTTCCCAATTATCTCCAGGATAGAGAGGAGGGGTTTACCTGTACAAAGGGGAGTGTTTATACCTGAGCCACTGCAATTGGCTTCTGTACTTCATTTGTCCCAGTCTTCCATCTGGTCCCCTAGGGGAGTGTCCACCAGGTGGGAGACTTGCATAAATACCGGGCAGGTAGCCCTCATTAAAGCAGATTCCTGTTTTACCCTCAAGACGGAGCTTGGTCTCGTGTTTGGGGGGATTGCTACTTGGGAGTATTATTTCGCCAGTTTCAGGAGAAGATGAGTTCAGATGATTCTCTGTTCGGGAGTTTGGAGCATTCCCTTATACTCCGTTCGGGAGTTTGGCGGTCTACAGCAACAGTGCCTGTGTCTCTAAAGGGGGAAGATCTATTAAACGGCGGTTTCACTCATTTATGCTGGGAGTGTCTTAACAACATCATCCTGATTATTAGGGCTGTCTGCCTGGCCCCAGCTTGCTGTGGCCCACCGGTAAATTTCCCGGTATCCCGCTGGGCCAGTCCGACCCTGCTTCTCTGACCTTCCCCCATTACATCAGTTTTGTTGCTGTTTTCTCCACTGCTCTCTTGCCTGCTAGTATTCTCTCTTATACTAACCAGAGTATGAAACATTTATTGGAGGGCATTCAGCAATGAATGTGCTGAATGGTTAATGCAGTGCCTAATGACTGCCACTTTCTGTCAAGAATAATCACTCGCACAGGATTGGCCAGCTGTAATTAATATTGAACCTGAAGAGGAGCAGGCTGCAAAGGGGGATGACTCTGAAGAGGAGCCACATATATCTGTCACTCTGTAACCTATTGGCCTTAATTCTAGGCCATCTGGGGGTACGTTATACGAATTAAATGCATTCGGTATCTGTCACTCCTAATGACGTCTAATGAATATCCCTGAGGGTGAGGTGCAAACCATGAAGAATTTATTCACCATCATTCACTTTGAATTCACTTTTCTGACAATTAAAGGTATCTTAGTATAAATATGCTTCAACCAGAATAGTTCTGACCACAAGTGGACTCTTTAAAATGTATAACTTATCTGTCACAAATTCACTTTAGAAATGAGTAAATGGTCCATAAAAATCACAGACCAATGAAATTAGCAGCACATCAGTGTGGCCAGAGCTGTAGGATCGGCCTATATCCCCCTACACTACAGCCCCTTCCTCCCACACTACATCCCCTATCACCCCCTACACTAATCCTCTATTCGTGCGACAAGATTTAAAAAGCCACGTTATACTCTGCTATTTCTGCCAAAGGGACTCTAATAGCAGTCAGAGTGACAGCTAGTAGAGGCATTTAAACCCTGCTATTTAAATATTGCCATTCCATCATTGAGATGAAGTGGTCTGGGTGCCTAGAGAGTTCCTTTAATTGTGAATTGTAGCTTTGCATTAATATTATATATATATATATATATATATATACATATATATATATATATATATATATACATATATATATATATATATATACACATATACATATTTTGTAATTGCTAAGGCTCTCAATGTGAGCTAAAGCATTTTTTTTTTTTTTTTTGGATAAAGACTAACTAAGCTGGTATATAAAGATTACCAAAGCAATTCCATTTTGATGTTGACAGACACTGCATTTTTAGATTCTTTGAAGAAGAAAATAGTTCAGATCCAATGACACCTTTAGAGGGAAAACTGCAGTAGGTATATAAGAATTACCTTAATATGACATTTAAATGTTCTGCTGGTGATCTCAATATCTTCAATGATATGATAGTAGAGAATTCAGAAACAAAATCTTTCTTTCACGGCCACCATTCAACTTTACTCTTCTCAGTAAGCCAAGATAATTTATGTGCTCTAGCCTAAGGCTTGATGTCACAGGAATACCCATCAATCAGCTTGCCCCAGGGGCAGCTTACCACCAACGGAACATCACAGATGAAAGCAAACTCATACTATATTACGTCAATGGCAAACATATTAATGTAACGCATGTGACTAGTAATAAGTTGTATCCACTTACACTAAAGCAGTCATATTTAGAGTCACAAAGACTGGTGTTAAGCATCTTTAATTTAAAGATTCACATATAAAAATCATAGAATACTCATTGATTCCAATTGATCCTTTACCTATCATTATGGTTAAGCAATAATATATTTGTTTGTTTGTAACCAAAACATTATTATAATGATGTGTGGTACGTGGAGGATTCATTAAACCATTTTTGTTATTTACCATTAATTACAAAATATACTATATAGAAAAAATGTATTTGTATAAAAATGTATTTGAAGGCAGAATGATATTTTATTTTTCTCAAAAGGCAGACTTTGGCGGAACCAACCTCGCCACTGGCCACCTGAGGAGCCTGGCTGCCCGCCTCCTGCTGCTGGACTATGGCCCCATGTTAAAAAACCCTTTTATTTTCCCTATGGGAGCAGTGTTACCCCAGATAGCTATGCCATGGAGCCTATTCGTGTAACGAAAGACTACGTGAAAGACTTTGGCTCCATGGCGATTGAACTGTATGTATGTGATATGAGCACCATTCGGTAATAATGTGCGCTCAGATCTAAGCTATCTGGGGATATGTTGAATGAATATGTTTTATGTAGTAATTGTAACACTGTGTAATTTTATGTCTTTTTACTAACATGTGGCTAATGGAGTTTGCCTCTGTCCTTGGAGATAATTGGATTACTTCCCAATTATCTCCAGGACAGAGAGGAGGGATTATAATGCATTGTGGGAGTATTTAAATGTGTAAGCTTGTGATTGGTCAATGTTCAGTATTTCCCATCTGGTCCCCTAGGGGAGTGTCCACCAGGTGGGAGACCTGCATAAAAGCCGGGCAGGTAGCCCCAGTAAATCAGTTCTGCTTGACCCTCAAACGATATGTCGTCTCGTTCCTAAGGGGAATTGGATTGTATGCTGTTACAGTGCGACTGCCAGGAGTGTAAGCCGTTTGTATGGTTTTTCCTGTTAGGCTGTTTAACAGCATTCGTGTGTTTCCTGTTCGGGAGCTGGAGGATTTGTATGGTTCCAGTTCGGGAGTTGGAGAATTCGTGTGTTTGCAGTTCAGGAGATTGGTGATTGCAGTAGCTGCCTGTGCATCTGAAAGTGGAATATCGCCTAAAAGGTTTTTAACCTCTTGTGTGCAAAACGGTCCGTTACAATTGGTGGCAAGCGACGGGATCATTCCCACAGCCCAGGAGGACAGCTACAGGACAACACCAGTTCCTGGATTTACAAGCTGAGGGCAACGCTAGCACTCGTGCAGTGCCCCTATCAACAGAGGAGCTCAGCAGAATGGAGCGAGCTGACCTGCAAGCAGCATTCACACCCAGGGATGAGAGTGACCTTGAATGGAGGAGTAGAACCCGAGGTTACGCTGGGAAGCTGACTTAGAAGAGATTCAGTTTCAGCGAGGAGAGGGACTCCCCGGTGTATACCAGCGTTTATGGGACCAGGTAGCCCAACGGAGGATGCTTCTGGGGGAGCAACCCAAGGCAGAGTGGGTAAGCTGCCTGGAATCCCTAGTAGAACGGGAACTAGTACTGGATGATGCCTACCGGGCGCTGTGGTGGCACGCAATACAACAGGATACCTGGCTGTCGGAGGGGGCTTCGCCGGAAGGGAAGGACTATGGTGGCCCTGGTCTGATATGGAGGGCCCTTGATGAGGACGACGATTTCGGCAGTCCTGCCCAGTCACGCTACTGGGCCATTTATGCCCACCGGAATGCTGTGCTGCTGTATCCCTCACTCCTAGGACTGAGACCTGACCTTGTCCGTCTGGCCGCAATGGAGTGGGAAATCGAAAGACATTATGTGGACAACTCAACACAGCTCAGGCAGCAGATAGTGGCACAGAACAGGAGGGCTGGATGACATCCCCAGACCTGCCACCCTACAGCTGGGAAGATCTGGCTGAGGTACCCCCTGCTTCCCTACCAACTGCAGAAGTAGGGGACCTCATGGACTGGTCCTGGGAAGACCCACAATTGGCAGGTGGAGATGGGACCGAAGTCTCTCAACCGGCCCTACAGGGAAGCTGGACAGTCGGCCCAGATCTCCAATGACAGTGTGTATCTTTGGGAGAGGGGACAGTCGGTCTCCCTCCCCAGCAGTCCAGGGTGTTACAGGGAGAGAAGTGTGCCGTCCTTTCTCCCCAGCGGCCGTATGTATCACAGGGAGCTGAAGGTGCTGTCCTTCCTCCCCATCGGCAGAGTGTGTCCTTATGAGAGGAGACAGTTGGAGCCCCGCTGAAGAGCTCTAGCATGAGAAAAAGGCCCTGTATTTGTTCTGCGCAGTGCAAGCAAATGTAATAACATGCTTGCGCTGGGTTTGCTTTTAACTTGTCTCTGGTGTCTCCATAAGTGGGATACCAGAGGACAAAAGGGCCAGGAAAGCGTATTGTGCACATGTTTGAAGCCTGCTTGTGGGATTGCGTGTGTAGAGTGAGGTGATTGTGGTGTGGTTTTGTGTAAATAGGTTGATTTCATTTGTGTTTGTGGTGTAATATGTGTGGCTAGGGGCTGTAGAGAGTGTCTGTACAGGGGATGTAGCAAGTGTGTGCATACATGCTGTAGTGTGTGTGTGTGTGTGTGTGTGTGTATATAGGTGATGTAGTGTGTGTAGGGATTGTAGAGAGTTTGTGTTTAGAGAATGTTGTATGTGTTTGCTTATAAGGAATGTAGTGTGTGCATAGGGGACCCAGAGTTTGTATGTCATTACTTACATGTCATGTAGTTTGTGTAGGTGGTGCAGTGGTGTGTAGATCTTTGATCTCCCCACCGGCACATAAGGGCACACAGCAGGGCCGGCGCTCGGATAGTGCCGGCTCCGCATGGGCCGAAAGGGGTGATCCTGTGATCTCCCCTGCCGACCTTGGCCCATGGCCATCGCGGCCCACTGGGCATTTGCCCGTATGCCCGGAGGCCAGTCCAGGTCTGCTGTATATGTGTTATATATATGTTTTACAAATATGCCAAAACTGGCAAGAACTGACATTTTTTAGAAATGAACTAAAATAAAATTAAGTGGTTACAATGACTGAAGATGTTTTCATTAATATTTTATAAACTGTGCAAAGGGTTCGGGGTTATAGTGGTGTCTACTAACTAGATGATGAGTTGTGATGAAATCCTTATGGACTCGCAGATTAACTTATCTAGACTTATCCAAGTCTGTCTCTTGCTCTCCTAAAGAGCCACACTACACTCTCACCTCACGTTCTGCTACGTTTCCACCTTGTTTGGTGGCTGTCACCCTTGCTGCCCTGTTGTATTTTTGTACCCCACCTCCTCTAGACTGCAAGCTCGTTTGAGCAGGACCCTCATCTACCTATTGTTCCTTTGTAATTTTTTAAATTTATTGCAAATCCCCCCCCACTTCATTGTATTGTAAAGCGGAGTTAGTTGGCGCTATAAATATTAAATATTTTAATATAAACTTTAAATAAAAAATAAGCCTTCCCTGTAAAGCGTAGCGTGATTTATATGTAAATTTCAGTGTTTTGTATAGTGGTGTAATTTTAATAGAAGTGAAGGCTACTCATTTAAGAAGAACACTTTAGTATAAAAGCATTGCCTTTAAATTTATCAGGGCAAGAAGGAACAGAAGACCTCATGTACACCCTTAAACTTTGACAAGCTAATAGTTACATAACTGAAAAGAGACTTGCTTCCATCAAGTTCAGCCTTCCTCACATATGTTTTTTGCTGTTGATCCAAAAGAAGGCAAAAAAAAACAAAAACGGTTTGAATTACTTCCAATCTGCAACAAACTAGGAAAAAAAATCCTTCCTCACCCCAGAATGGCAGTCAGATTAATCCTTGGATCAAGAAGCTATTACCCTATATTGAAAAATGATTTCTTCGAATATTCTGTTTTTGCAAATATGCATCTAGTGATTGGTTGAACATCTGTATGGACTCTGATAAAACCACTTCTTCAGGCAGAGAAATTCACATCCTTATAGTTCTTACAGTAAAAAAACCTTTTCTTTGCCTTAGACAAAATCTTCTTTCTTCCAGTCTAAACGCATGACCTCATGTCCTATGTAAAGTCTGGTTTGTAAATAGATTTCCACACAATGGTTTGTATTGGCCCTGGATATATTTGTATAATATTATCATATCCCCTCTGAGGCAACGCTTTTCTAAACTAAAGAAGTTTAAATTTAGTAACTTTCTTCATAGCTGAAATGTTCCATTCCTTTTATTACTTTTCTAGCCTGCCTCTGCACTTTTTCTAGTGCCATAATATCCTTCTTTAGAACAGGTGCCCAAAATTGCCCAGCATATTCAAGATGTGGTCTTATCAGTGATTTATAAAGAGGCAAAATTATATTCATCCCAAGAATGAATGCCCTTTTTCATGCATGAAAATACCTTACTGGTGTTAGCCACTGCTGATTGACATTGCACATTGTTGAAAAGTTTGTTGTATATAAAAATTCCCAAGTCCTTTTTCGTGTTGTTCTCCCTAATTCGCTTCCATTATCAGTATAAGTTGCTTGTGCATAACTTTGCATTTTTAAACAATAAATTTCATCTGCCATCTGAGTACCCAGTCCCCCAGTATATCTTAATCCCTCTGCAGCAAATTAATATCTTGCTTACAATTTTGTGTCATCTGCAAACACTGAAACATGACTTTCAATGCTTTTTTCAAGATCATGTCTAAACATGTTAAATAGTAGAGGTCCCAGAACAGAACACTGAGGGACACTGCATGCCACCTCTCTCCATCTTGAAAATGTACCATTAATGATGACTTTGTATTCTATTTTTAAGCCAATGTTCTACCCAAGAACAAGAATTTTCATCTCGAGCGATTTCTTTGAGTTTGAACACTAATCCTATAGACTGTAAACTCGTTTGAGCAGGGTCCTCTTCAACCTATCATTCCTGTAAGTTTTCTTGTAATTGTCCTATTTATAGTTAAATCCCCCCTCTCATAATATTGTAAAGCGCTGTGGAATCTGTTGGCACTTTGTAAATAGCAATAATAATAATAATAATCTATTGTGTGGACTGTATCAAATGCCTTGGCAAAATCCAAAACGATCACATCCACTGCAACACTCTGATCTATACGTCTACTTCTTCACAGAATGCAATCAAGTTCGTTAATCACATATCATGTTCATTATGTATTCTCCTTTTTTTAATGTAGGTTTGTTTAAGCAAGATATTTGTCACTGCTAGTCACTGTTTTATTACCTTGTCAAAATTACTTCTGTTTAAGCACTCTGCCATTCTGCAACATATGTTGGAATAAATATGATATTCTGGAATCCTCTTGTAAAAGTTTTTTTGTTGGCAATAGATAAATCCTTCATTTGACGACATGCTTATCTCTATTACAGGCCTTTCTTGCACTCAAGACTCAATAATAGAAGGATATAGAAATATCAGTCCCGACTAGGCAGTTCATGCAGTCTTCCTGCTCTTCCAGGATATTTCATGTCATGCGGTTGTAAATGTAAAATATAAATTCTTATAAACCGGAGATTAGCAATGCACAATGGAGTGCTGGGAATTCTGTAACTTTTTCAGAGGCATGAAACTACAGCCACCATAAATCTCATTTCTCCAGCCCATGTTGAGAAAGCACCCGGAGTGGCGCGAAACAAGTCCAGGGCTTCTGTAATCTTTCTTAAGAGTTAACTTCTTTGGTGGTCTCCCCCCTGTACAGAAGTTGCGGTGGTCCTATGCTCAGGTTTTAGACTTTTTATACCTTGTTCACTCGCAAACTTTTTTTTCATTTTTACATGTTTGGACTGACAGATCCCTCTGTCTTGGAACTATAGTGCTTTCCCGGTGGATTCGTGTAATTGCCTGTCCGTACTTCCCCGTTCGTTTTTTTTTTTTAATCTACCGAATAAGCTGCCGAACAGCCGGCCACCCAGAAGAGGAGTGTGCTGCTGGTTAACCTTTTGGCCCCAATTTGAACGTTGTGGTTAACCGCAGACACTTCCTAATTGAAACTGTATGCTGGGTGGTCGTCGTTCGTATGCCGACCGCGAGGTGGCCATCTTAGATGCACGAATACACAGCGTTGTTCATCGACAAACTTATGGAACTCAAAACGGACACTTTTTCTTCCGAACACCGCTGAAACCGCCGACCTCAATTCTTTGTCATCCGGCATACGAACACCGGTCCATTCAGGACTTTTATTTCATGAATGGACTTAACCCAGATAGCCATCCCATGGAGCCCTTCGTATACCGAAAGAACAGTGTGAAAGACTTTGGCTCCATGGCGATTGAACTGTGTGTATTGGATTTGAGCGCCATTCGGTAATAATGTGCGCTCAGATCTAGGCTATCTAAGGATACGTTATATGTGT